AAAGCCTAAGCAAAATGCGCGTTCAAAGACTAAACTCGACTGTAAGGAAGCTACTGAAAGGAAGTAATGAACGATTCTGAATATGAGGGAAGATTGGGATATAAGTGTTGGGACGAGTCAAACAGATAGATAGCCTGCACAAGCAGCTGCGCGCACAGCAAGCTATCGATCGGCCCACAGGCAACAAACGCAACTGGCAGTCAGACCAATCAATAATTCAAAATTTAAGCTGAATGTCAGCCGCCGAGTCCCAGCCAATCACGCTAGTAACCAAAAGCTGATTGGCTCGATGGAGCTAGCTCACAGTCGTTTGTTGCTCTAATTTTGTGGTACTTGTTACACTCAAGGACTTGCGCTGACTTACTGTAACGTGCTTGTCTGAGTAAACTCTCTCTCTCTCTCTGGTCTACCGGTCTTCTCTCTGTCACTTCATGTACGGGCTAATTGGTTCGGCATTCTTGTTAATTAAAAGTACCAGGCGCTGGTCATAACAATAAGGCCTCGGCCAACAGACAAAACCTCGTTAAAAATTTGATGATCAGAACGTTACGGGTCAAACATATTGAAATCATTTTACGAACTCAACTCGGTTGTGTTTAACAGGCAGCGTCGGGTTTGTTGATCTCTTGCAACGTCCATGAGAAAATAATCAGGATGAACCATGCACGTAAACGATCGGCTGCGTACCTTTACGTCTGTTAACTAATTCCCACACCCTCAAAAACATAGGGCTACGGAGAGGGTAACATGCAATCCAGGCCAATTCGGGTCAATCTGCCACTAAACAAAAGTCGTGACCCGCCTGGGATGACTTAGCAGTCATGTTTATGTGTAGCACGAGAAAGGGTTATACAAGGGGCGCCCCACCCCCAGGGATTGTTACGGCTTATCTGGATTAAGTCTACACGGACAATTGGGGGGATGCGTTCTGGTTGTACCTACTGGATCGGACGTCCGGAATCGCTTTCGTCGCCCGGTATGACACTGTGAAGTAGATTAAATGTAAGTTCTAAAAAGACCTACACGTTCTCCTAGTGACTATGTCAGAGTTGGACAAAATTATTGTCATTGGGGACTTCAATGTCCTTGTCGGTGCAGACCACTGCCTAAGAGGAAGCGTTCGATCGCCAGGGGCTCGCCAGTTGCCACAACAATGACCTTCTCCTCCAGCAGGTCTGTGCAGAAAGCAATCCTATCCTGATCAGCGCAGGCTACACATGACACGCACCACCACCAACAACAACAGCAATTCCTGTCAGGGGCCGACTCAATGGCGTGCGCAAACAGCCCTGACGAAGAGTTGTCACAGCAACTGATCGATTCACTCAGTCACAATGCGCTCGATAACGCCACGCAGGTGCGGCCGGCGCAGGATGCTAACACAGCTGTCACTTTACCAAACTCCACCAACTCAAGTGCGTTGTGTGACGCCTCGCTCAGACTAGCACGTCAACTCCCATGACTCATCCAGCTAATGAAGTCGTGACTTTCTTGTGACTACGATCTAATTGGCTCAACTTGTACATCCGCATCCGCTTGCCTTAAATTATGCTGTACTAGGG